TCCAGGAGGGCGACCGGGGGCAGGTGGCGACTGCAGGGGGCGGATGATGTGAGAAGGACTGGCTTCTCCACCCGCCCCCAGGGAGCTGGGCCCCCAGCCACCTCCATGGCCTGAGAGTGCTGGGGAGTGGCCAGTACTGTAACTGAGTGAGGGGCTGGCTGTAGGTAGCCCCTGGGAGTGTGCAGCTGGCCCTGGGTACGGCTCACCCTGCACTCCGTACAGCTGCCCCTGTAGCTGGTCCGGGGAGTAGCTCTGACACGTAGCTAGGCCAGGAGGCGGGGGGCCACTGGGGGCCTGTGGGGGGCCCCCTGAGTAGCCAGGGCCTTTGCTCAAGTCCTGTGCTTGACCCCCTCCAAACCCCTGCCCATAGGCCTGCGGTCCTAGAAGCCCTTGGGGCTGACCAGGGGAATAGGCCTGGCCTCCTGCTCCCCCAGCCCCAGAGGCCTTCCCAGTGGCATAGGCCGCTGCCGGCCCACCCAGGCTCTGGCATTTGGGCGTGGCAGTCGAACGGGGTGGTGGGGGCCTGCTGGCACCACTGGCAGCTGTTCCATAACCGCCTTTGCCGGTCTTGTAACCGGGAGACTGAATGATGGGGCGGTAACCTCCGCCCCCACCCCCTGCCCCACCTCCTCCCGCTGCCTCGGGGCCTGCAGCCCGGCCGGATGCCCCAGCCGTAGCTCCACTGGGCCCAGCCTTGCTGGGCTCGCCAGCACCCGGCGAGGGCTCCCCACCGCCCAGGGGGCTGCAGGCCAGGTTGGCCCGGTGGCCCATGGAGGGGTAGCTGCCTCCACAACTCAGGTAGTGCTGGAGGGCATGGGCTGGTGGCGGGGGCGGCGGGGGCTGGGCACTGGCTGGCCGCTGGTAGTGCTTGATGACGGTGTCCTGGCGGGGCAAGGCCCGCTCGGGTGGCGGTGGGCCAGGGGCAGCACCCGAGAAGTTGTAGAGTTGTGGGGAAGATTGCTCAGCGGCAGCAGCGGCAGAAGAGGAAGCCAGCAGGTTGAACTGAGTTGGGAGGTGGCGGGGAGGTGGAGGTGGGTCTGGGGGGCCAGGGCGGTAAGGAGGAGTCTGGGCAGGGCCGAGACCAGCGGGCCCCAGGACACCTCCCCCCGCCAGGCGCTCAAAGCCTAGCGAGGAGGGCACCGTGGGTGCCTGCGAGGGCTTCAGATGCAGCACGTCATGAGGGGATAGAAGCCCATTAGCTGGGGGACTGAATGGGGGGTCTTGGAGGCTGAGAGACGAGGGCACTGGGAAGGGGCGGCTGCCAAAGGAAGCCGGGTGCTGATAGGCCGACAAAGCAGAGGAGGATGGAAAGGTGCTGGAACCTGGCAGGGCGCCTGAGATGAAGAGCTCCGTGGGGCCTGGCGTGTGCATGGCTGGGAACGATGGAAGAGACCATAGGTCAGAGTTGACCACAAGCCAGCCCCTCCCTGGTCTTCCTGAACCAGCGCTGCGCTTACCTGTTTGCCAGGAAGGACTGCGGAACTGGGAAAGGAGAGAGGAGGCAGAGGGGCCAGGCTGGGGGCCCCGGGACTCCAGGGCAGAGATGAGGTTCATGACGGAGGCGTCAGGCCCTGCTGAGCCTGCGTGGTGGAGGCCAGTGTCGAAGAGTCCAGAAAGGCCTGGCCAAGGACAGGAGGTAGAGTCAGCTAGGTAGCTAGGTGGGCAACAGGGCAGAGTTGAAAGGGAAAAGAAAGAGGCCAAAAGCAAGCTGGTCAGGGAAAGGGCTGGAGGGAAAGAGGCAGACTCGGAGAAGAGAAAATGAACACGGCCAAACTAAGGAGGCAGGACCCAAGGGGAAGCAAGGGGAAAAGGTGAGACAGTAAGCAGGATGGGGTGCAATCCAAACATGATAACAAGGAGCCCAGGAGAGGGAAAGTAGACAAAGGACTAGAAAAATCCAGAACAGAAGTTGTGTGGGAGCAAAAGGGCATAGAGTTCTTATGGGGAGGTAGAGCCAGGGGATTTGGGCAATTCTAGCAAAGAAGGGGAAGGGATGGGACACAACTGGAACCACTCGGCAAGACCAGAGGACAAGTCCAAAAGGGCTGAGTCAAAATGGGAGGATACAGAAAAAAAAAGTGGAGAGGAAAAAGGAAAACAGCCAACCAGGGGGATCAAGGATCAAATCCGACACAATCTAGCCAGTAGTTCACTTAAGAAGGACGACGGCGGATCAGAGAAAAGGAACCAATCAGAAGTGCCAGAGGTAGGGCCAAAGAAAGAGTATAAGGCAGTAGGCAAATCTACGGAAAAAAGGGGAGGTCTAAAGAATCGTAGCCAATCAGGAAGAAAGGGAATCAGGAAGAAAGCATGCAGAGAACCGAAAAGCCAAGAGGATGGGCAAACCTAGAGGAAGGGACTGGGGTGGGCTGCAGAGGAGGAACAGCCTGGAAGAGAAGGTGGGATTTGGGGGCTGAGGGGACAGGACCAATTGGAACGAAACAGGCGGGGCCAGAGGCAGGAGAGGACGAATCCAGCATGGTATTAAGCAGGGACCAGCAGTCTTAAGGCAACCAATCAGAGGTGAAGTAGCAAGGGGCGGGCCAGGACACAAGGCACGGCCAATTAGAAGGGGTGGAACTTTCAGCAACCAACCAACTGCCTTAGAGGGAGGGCCAGCCCAGGTGGGGCGGGGCGGGGGCCGTACCTGCAGGGTGGTGGTTGGTGGCATAGCTTTGCAGTGGGTGGGGGGCCGCGTAAGCCTGGCGGTGTAAGATGTCCGTCTCGGGGTGCGAGGTCCTGGAGCTGCCATAGACCAAGCTGGGGGTAAGGGAGAGATGTTAGAGTATCCAGCGAAACTGCCCTAAGAGAAGGGAACTCCACAAACTCCCCGGGGTGTTGGGGGAAATATAGCTGACAGGGGGTTTATCCTAAGGAACCTTGGGCTCTAAAGAACACAAGGGAATCAGGGTACCCAACTAAAGAGCCGCACAAATGGTGCCCACTCGTGCCCCAATAGATAAAGCCCAGATAATCTCACGTTTGAAAAACAGACCCGCACAGGGATGAAACAAACACAAGAGGGTTTAGAGTCAGAGAAAGTTGAAAATGAAAGGCAACCCCCTATGGAGCCCCCCACCCAGGTGATGATTCCAGGTCCTGGGGCCATGGACGCCCCCTTCTGCAGACACGTGGGAACACATAGCTCCTGAACCTCATAGGATGGTGCAAACCGAGTTGGGAGTAGCAGGCAGATTGTTCCCCAAACAGTGGGGGTGGGGGTGGGGAGGGGATAGGACTCCGGGAAAGTACCAGATACAAGTGAGAACATGTACACGGTCCGTCCCCTGGGGTTGAGGTTCAAATGCATGGGCCCATGCAAAGTCAGGTATATGTGCAAATGAGTATCTAGCTCACCCATAGAAAAGGAAAGGTACAAAGCAGAGTCTCACATGTAAAATCGTAACACACATGGGGTCATGCTCAGCCATGCTGGGAAACCCAGTTGTGTGTTGGGGCGCAGGGGACTTGGGGGACAGGTGAAGAGTGAGGGTACAACACAAATAAACCGCAGGAAAGGGCAGATTCACAGGTGAACAGGCTGCCAGCTACCCACGTACAGGACCCACGCTTAGACATACAACCACACACCCGAAACATCCGAAATCTTCCCAACTAGCGGCCCCAAATCACGGCCCAGACTCAAGAGGTCAAACACTCCACTCCTAGCGATCAACGAGAATTCTGTCTTTAGGGGTGGGGGATTAAAGGGGGCGTGTCTCAGATGCCAGGACCCCCCCTTACACACACACAACCCTTCCTTAGGAAGGGGGCGGGGCCCAGTGCCCACTCTGCGCGCGGAATTTCGGGGAGGGGGGGCCCGGGTGGCGCGGTCTCGCGCAGTCCCGGAACAATAGGACCTGGGGGGCACCCCCCAGGTCTGCATTCTAATTCTCCTTGTCTTCCCACCTTTGCAAGAGCAGAGCCTGGGGCGCAGAGGGGGAGGGGTCAGCAAGCTGGGAATCCAAGAATGGGGGGAAATGCAGGCCTTGCTTCGCCAGTCTCTCCCACCTTCCCAAGGCCTTTCCGTCCAAAATTGTTTTGCACCCCATTTTTCCGCTGCATCCCTCCCTTTGCATGCCGGAGCTGGCTTTGGTGGAGTTTGCAATTTGCAAACTGGGGCGGCGGCGGCGTTGCAAAGCGAGGAAGGCCGCTCCCTTGCAAGCCGGAGGGGAGTTTGCGATGCATGCGTCGCCGGGCGGGCCAGGCCCGGCCCGGTTGGGCCCCCACCCCTTAGCCCCTTCCTCCAGGCCACCCTCGGCTCCTTACCTAGCTTTCGCTGACCTCTCGTAACTCCATCCCGCCCCGGCGCCGAGCGGGTCCCCGAAGCCGGCGCTGGGGTAGTTCCTGTCCATGAATTGGCCGCGGTGGAAATTGGGGGGAGGGGGAGGGAGGGAGGGAGGGAGGGGGGCGCGCGCGCGCTCTCCTCCGCCGCCGCTCCCTCCGCTGCTGCTTTTTTTCCCCTTCCTTCTCTCTCTCTCTCTGTTTTTTTCTTTGCAGCCGCCGAAGGCCCGGGAAGGCCCCGGGCAAGGAGGGAGGGGACAGAGGCGGAGGGGCGGGCAAGGGAGGGGGTGCAGCCGCCGAGCCAAGGAGGGGGGAAGGGGGGTTCCCCCTGGAGGGAAAGGGGGGGAGGAGGGACCCCGCTGTCTCCGCCTTTGCCCTGGCGCTTGCAAGAGAAAAAGGGGAGCGCGCGCTCAGGAGGGGGCGTCCCGGGCGGCCCCGGGGTGGGTGCGGGCGCTGGGTGCTCGCTCTCTCGCCGCCGCCGCCGCCGCCTCCTCCTCCTCTGCGCTCACGGTGCAGCCATCTTTGCACAAGGCGGCTGGGGGAGGGGGGAGGGGAAGGGGGGCGGGCGGCGGGGTGTCTGGCTGCGCTCCGCTTCCTCCCACAATCCCGTGCAAATGAAAAAAAAAAAAAGACACACACAGCGCTAGCAGGGCCTGGGGGTGTAGGGCGCAACGTCTGTACAGAAAGCCAACTCCGCCGCGCGCGGGCGCGCCCGGGAAGGCGATTCGGTTTATTTCATTTTTATTTTTTTGCATTCACTTTTTTTGGTCTCTTTTCCAAAGGGTTTTTATTTAGGGGAAGAGCTTAACTCTGGTCCCCCGGGTGCAAGCGGGCCTGCCCCCTCCTAGGGTGCTTGCAGCTTTATCCCCCACTCTTTCCCTGGGTTTCGAAGCTCCCCGGTGCGCACATGGGGGGCGCACGAAAACCTACGTGCAGAAGCGGGGCTGTGTGTGTGCGTGGCCCGTGGCACACCTACTCCCACACGCCGAGTCTGCACACCCAGCCAGCGCACCTGGGTCCGAGTTTCCATGCACGCCTAACCCGGAGGCGGGGCTGGCAGGTACCCTTCACTGTCAGGAGAGCGTAGGGTCCCGCGGGGGTCCGGGACGCGGGCACACGTCGGCCGGGGACGTGCGTGTATCCGTACTCGGCGGAAACACGTGTGCCAGGATAGGCCTCGGGCTGGACAACCCCTATTACCACCACCTCCAAAGCTCGGTTCCGTAGTTTAAGAGGCCTGGGGGCTTCCGGAATCCGGTGTGAATCCGGGGAACCCCGGCTCTGAAGCAGCTCTTCAGCGAGACCTCCTGAGGCTGCAAGGGGCGGGGCACAATGGGGAGTCAAAGACCCGGCTGTTTTTCCCCCCCACCTCAAACGAGACCACTCAGACCCGCCCTGGGCGTTCCAGCCAATCCTGGACCCTCTGGGCACAAGACCCACCCTCCTCTAATGCTCAAAGCTGGACCACGCCTCCAGGCAATTACTAGGGCCCCGCCCCACGCTCCAAACCCCGCCCCGGATAATAAGCTCAAACTTCCAAGTCCCGCCCCTGAGCCCACGCCCCTCCTCCGGTGGTACCCTCCGTCTGCGCCCCGCCCCCAGTTAAAAGCCCAGCCCTGTACCTGGTGTAGGGGGGCGGAGGTGCGTCGTGCACCCCAGAGGCCGCCAGCGCCTGCTCGTAGGTGGGGAGGCCTGGGGGTTGGGGGGGAGGCAGGGGCGTCGGCGACCCCAGAGAGCTCAGGGGACTCAGGGGGCTGATGAGCTCGGCCCTAGGGACAGAGGGCGCACTGTTAGAAGAAGAAACCTACGATAGAGAGGCATGGGAGGAGGGAGGACCTAGGGAGTCAGAGACTCTCGAGGGTGGCTGGGGGACAGAAGTGTAAGGGAGATACACCAGAGAAATAGGTCACCTTCAACCTGACCTTCCACACAGAAAAGTCCATCGAGATGACAGGCAGATGAACAGGACAGGCCGACTCAGAAATCAACAACTGCTGAGACAGACACACATGTGCTCCAGATACAGGCAGAGGGCAGTGGAGAAAAAAATAGCCCTGCAGAGAGGCAGGCCAAGAAACAGAAACAGACACAACACAGAGATACACTCAGTCACAAATTTCCCAGATACCCTCTTACAATAAACTCTTTGCAAAAAAAACCCAGACCCATTATTCTTCCAAGACTGACAGTCAAGCACCTTCTTAGACCAGCCACTGAGACACACCCAGACAACTCATACAGGTAGTACACTAATGGGTGCTATAGCCTGTCACCACGGAAAATGACATACAGCAGACACCCACGGACCTTAGGCTGCAGCCTCACCAGAAACAATATCCAGAGCGATAATCACACATAAACCTGGTACCTCAAAGACAATCAGGCAGCAAATATTGATAGAGGCCCTACTGTGTGCCAGGTACTGAGGATACAAGCAGACAGTGCAAGCAGACACATGCGATCTCACAGACTTACTCTCCACCTGACAGTCTCCTCAGCTCTTTCATCAGCACCCACCTGCCCCCAATTCTTGGCCCATCTCCTTAGGTCAAGCCTTCTGCCCTCCAGCCCCAGCCCCTCCTCTTGGAAACCCCCTTACTCTTGGGGACAGGGCTGCTGGCCTCGGCCCCGACGGCAGTGCAGATACCAAAAGGCTCCCAGGCCGGCCAGGACAATGAGCAGGATGCCAGATGTTAGTCCCACAGCCAGGCCTGCTACATCCACACGTCCACGCCCTGGGGGAGAGGGCAAAGCCACTGCCTCAGGGGCTGCCTCCCACCCCAACAACCAAATGCTCTCCTCCCAAAAGAGTACAAAGAAGCAAGGCAGAATTGGGGCCACTTCCCAGCTGTGTGACCTCAGGCACCTCACATCACTCATTTCTCTAAGCCTCCATTTGCTGCTCTGTAAAACTGGGAAGAATAAGCCCTCTCCCAGTGCTTGTGAAAATTCAGTGAGGTCGAACATTTAAAGGGCCTGTGCTAACTTCATCAGGGATTAAACAATATGGCATCTGTATCCCCATGACAGAGGCCCCTGCCTGGACATGGGGTAGCACAAGTCCCTCCTAAGTACTCTACCTGCTAAGGGGGCAGTTGACACATGGAAGGTAGGGTATGAAACTCAGATCATCAGCTCAAGAGGCCTCCACCCTACATATTGCCAGATTTAGCAAATAATAATATAAGACACCCAGTTAAATGTGAATTACAATAAGTAATTTATTAGTATAAGTATGTCCCATGGAATACTGGGATACACTTATACTAAAAAAAATTTTTATTTATGGTGTGTATTTGAAGTCAAAATGTAATGAGGGGGTTTACCCTGCATTTTATCTGGCAACCCTCACCCTTCTGGAATGCAGCCCCTTTTACCAACCAGGTCATCGGAGGGGCAAGGCCTCAACTCTTGAGAAAAACAGAATCCACAGGCTAGGAAAAATTCATTCATTTATGGAGGAATTTAAGGACCTTCCCCCAATAGCAGATTATTAGGTGTCTAGAACTCATGTGGACCCTTTGCTAAGGTGCGACCCTTCTAGCAATCCAAGGCCTCACATCCAAGGAAAAGCAGGGTGGGGGTCACGGGGAGGGCTCTGGCTTTGTGAGGACTTCCTAGGTTTTGCTGCTAGGGGGACTTCCTTTAGCACTGGCTGGGGGACTTTCCTCAAACAGTAAAGCCCAAGTTTTAGTCCCCTTAGCAAAAAGCTGCACTGAGAAGGCAGGCCGATCCTGACATGTTTCAGGTGGATTCAAGGAGCCACCAGGCCTCACTAGGCCTGTGGTGAAGGAGTTACCTCCCCTAGCAACCAGGCTCCAATGTGAGGACTCCAGCCCAGACCTAGGGCCTGTTGCTAAGGTGCATCCACCCCTAGCAACCAGGCCACAAGGGGGTGGGGCAGCTGGTGCCCAGAGTGGGGGGGTCCTCCTTGGGTCCTGAGCCTGGCTAGGTGTGGTTGCTATGGAGAAGGCCTCCTTAGCAACCAGGCTGAGTCTGGGATGGGGCTGTGGGGGAGGGGAAGCCAACCAGGTAGTAAGTGCTGTGGGCTTCCTTGGTCCAGCCTGGCCAAGCCTGGTTGCTAAGGAGCAGCCCCCCCTTAGCAACCAGGCTGCAGCCCTGATGGGGCCTCAGAACTCAGAGGAGGAGTTGGGGTGGGTGGACTGGGCAGGTGAGGATGGACAGGCTTCTTCCACCCCCTGGCCAGGCCCTGTTGCTAGGGGGCAGCCTCGCTAGCAACCAAGCTGCAGAAGAGACTGGGGTTCTGGACTCCAGAGGTAGGCCAGCGCCTCTGAGCCTGAGGCCTGGTAGGCCCCAGAGCTGTAACTCCTCCCTCCACCCTCACCTCCCCCTTTCATGGGACCTCCTCTGAATTAGGTTCTTCAGGCAGGGACTCAAAGGAGGGGTCTTTCACAACCACCGCCAGAAACTCAGGGAGCATGGAATTTGAAGGGGGAGAATTTGGGGTGGGGACGTTGGTTCAGCCTCCATGGGAAGGGGCTGCCTGAGCTGCATAGAAAAGGAGTGCTCCCCCAACTCACCTCCTTTGCCATTGTAGATGTAGCTCTCCCAAAAGCGCTCCTTGAGGGGGTAGGAATAGAGAAGATGGAAAGGCAGCATGTCAGCTGCGAGATTCCACACTCCAAAACCAGCCAGTTCTGATGTCTGGGACCCAGAGTGCAGGGATTCGGGGTCAGGAAGCCCCAAGGCTTAAAGAAGACCAAGGGACTCCAAGGCCCCTAGGCCCTCACCGTCAGAATGTCATCTTCAAAGTACTCCCGAGCCTCCTCCCAGGAACACCTCTCCTCACGACACTCCCGTTCCAGGTTCCCCGGGGTGAGCAGCTCCAGGTCCCAGTGATTGGCTCGCGGAATCCGGCTACGGCTGCCCAGGAATCTCTGGGCCTCTGGGGAGTCCAGAAAGACTTCTGGGCCCAAAGGACAGAAAAATGGAGGGGTTACTTGGACTGGGGACATGGAGGAACCGGAACCTAAGGGGAGAGAGAACCCAAGAGTCCTGGTGGGGGAAGGGACTAGATGCAAGGGTTCCTGGGTCAGGGGAAGGTGGATGTCAGCACCTGGACACACCCACCTTGGTCTTGCTCTCCACCGGGTGCAGTGTCCAGGCAGGTGGTCAATCCCAGGTATAGCAGCAGCAAAGAGGGGCGGCCCCTCATATTTTGTGGACACCTGGAACAGATGTGGTATAAGTGACAAGTGCCTGGGGAAGGAACTAGGAAAGGTCTCCCTGACTGGACTCTGGGTTCCACTAATTATAATAGCAGACATTTACATAGTCTGTATTCTGGGCCAGGCATTGTTCAGGGTAGTTAACCTAAATCAACTATTATCTCCATTTTATAGATGAGAAAACTGAGGCACAGAGAGGTAAAGGAACTTGCCGGCCCAGGTCACCTGGTTTGCAAGATTCAAAGGCAGGACTTGACCAAAGACAGTGTGCCTCTGAAAACTGGAACAGAGAGCTTATCTCTTTCTTCACTGTGTCTGCACACCCAGCATGGGGTTTGGCACATAGTGGGTGCTCATAAACATGTTCATTGTTGATCAGATTCCTTTCTTCCTGGTACTTTCCACATATGCCAGTCTCTCTCTACGTTTATTGCCACATCCACCCACAGAGATCAGAGTTTCAGGAGAGGCAAGAGCAGGGGCCTATATTCTTGGATCCTGGGGGAGGAGAGAGCAGGGAACCCAGGCTCCTGAGCTTTGGGGCTCCAACTTCTGAGTCCTAGAGAGGTGGGGAGCCAGGACACCAGAGTCCCCAAGCCAGGCTTTGCCTCCAGGGACATTCACTTACCTGTCCAGACTTGTGAGCACTGTCCCCTCCTCTTTAATCGGGCCCCCCCTCCTTGGAAAGCTGAGGCCAGCTGTTAAGGGGGGTAGGGAGAGGGGAGGGGGAGGAAGGAGGGGATCCCCGTTCCCTGTAATCTGCCCGATCCCGGTTTCTGGCAGAGGGGCGGGGTTTGCAATTACCTGCTCTGGGCGGGACTCTGGGTACGGACAAATACTTAAAGGGACCTTAGGATGAAGGACCTAAGATCTACAGGCCCGTAGGGAAGGCAGGGTTTCCGACACCATGGAACACTTAAGGGATTGAACATGTACCTCCTCTCTTGTTTCCCCACTGGGAGCTTGCCTGGAGAAACTAGGGAAATCAGTGGCTAGGTCTCCAGATATCTAGATATCTAGAAATAAGCAGCAACTGTATGCCTTGGTCCCTGGGGGTAGGTGGACTTATTTGTAATAAATTCCTGTTTCCTTCGGCGATTTGAACAGCTTTGACTTCTGATTTCTCAATTGCTCCGTTTATAAATGAGGATAAAGGAGTTGTCTCTTCTCAATCGTCTCTCAACATACAGCATGAGAAGTGGATGATATACGTGGGGAAGTGGGCTTCCCAATCTCTGGGTGAAGTAGTTAGTCCTTAGACTTGGGCTTCTAGAGACGCAAAAACTGGGTACAAGTAAGCAAGAAATCGCCCGCCCTGGGATATGCCTACGACATACTAAGCGTGCCCTGTATGCACGCCAATTTCACTAATCGGAACCTTCGAGTTGCCCCTCACGTTTCCGGAGGGAGGAAGAGAAAGAAGGGAGGACTTACCAAGCCCGGCGAGCCTTCTCCACAACTAGGGGCAGCTCCACTTCCGATATCTTCCGCCGGGCGGAAGCGGGAGAAGCGGGGAGGAAAAACAGCGCTCCCTTCCGGTGTAAGGGCACAGTTGAAGAAGCAACGAAGGATCGAGGAGTGTTTCGTGAGGTGAGTTCCAGGCGGTAGAAGGATAGTGTTCCTGGGATCGCTTTCCGTTGGGTGAGAGTTCTGGGGTCCTAAGGAGACAGGGACAAGGTTTCGAATTCCCCACTACCTGTCAATCATTAATAGATCACTCCAGGGGCGCCCCTTTTGAAGCTGAACTACATCTCCCAGCATCCCCTGGAGGCAGCCAACCCTCCAGCCGGCTGTTCTGAAGGTTGTATGTAGTTCCACCTCGGGAAGGCCATGAGCACGGGGTCCTAGGGGAAGGAGGAGGCTGGGACTCTGGGAGTCTACGGAGTGGCGGTTGAGGAAGTAGAGTCCTCAGGAAAACACGCCAGGAAAGCTTTGGTGGGAGGGCGGAGATGAATTGTGCAGTCAGTCGCCCGCCGCCACCTTCTCTGAACTTTCTTGACAGCCCCTTCCCTCTGGAGTCGGGGTAGAGCTTAATATTTTTCTCTGGGGCTTTGGGAGCAGGCAGTCCTGGGTTCACATCCTGTTGCTGCTGCTGATATCGTGTTAATTTGGGCCTTGAAGGATCCTTTAAGCAGTTTTACTTTAATGTTTTGTTATGAAAATATTCAAATTTAGAATAACAAGATTCTATCACCCAGATTTACCAACTATTCATATTTTTGTCATATTGGTTAGGTATATTTTTAAAATTAATTATATAAAGCAAATCCTATCCAATTCACTCCTAAGTACTTCAGAATGTGTATGTAAAAACCAGGGGCACTTTCTTACGTGACCACAATACCATTATCAAACTGGACAAAAGCAATTTTAAGTCTAGAATATTACCTATTACTTAGTCAATAATTAAATCCTGTATCTCAAAAATGCCTTTTTTAAGGAAAGTTTCATTTGTTTGAATCATAATCCAATCCCCTCCACCCCACCCTGGTTTGGTTGATTCGTTTGTTTTTGGTGTAATTGAGTCATTGAAGAAACTGAGTCAGTCATTCTGTTGATCATTCCACCATCTGAATTTGTCTTTTTGCATCTTTCCTCTATGTCAAGGGTCAGTAGGCCAAACCCAAATCCTGCTGGCCTATTAAAAAAAAAAAATCAGCTTAATTGGTATAATTCACAGAAGGTATAGTTCACCTATTTAAAGTGTACAGTTCAGTGGTTTTTAGTATATTCAGAGTTGTGCAACCATCACCACTGTCAGTTTTATAACATTTTCATCACTGCAAAAAGAAACACCCTACCCATTACGTCACTCCCATTCCCCCTCTTCCCCACTCCCCCACACTCCCAACCCTGGGCAACCCCTAATCTGCTGTCTATCTCTATGGATTTACCTAAGTGGGACATTTCACATAAATGGAATCATCTTTCTGGCTGACTTCTTTCACTTAGCGTCATATTTTCAAAGTTCGTCCATTGTGTAGCATGCATCAGTACGTCATTCTTTTTATGGCTGAATACTATTTCTTCATATGAGCTACACATTTTGTTTATCCATTCATCAGGTGATGGACATTTAGGTTTTTTCCAGTTTTGGGCTATCATGAGTAATGCCGCAGTGGAACATTTGTGTACAAGTTTTCGTGTAGATAGGTTTTCATTTCTGTTGGAAGTGGAAGTGCTGAACCAAATGGTAAATCTATGTTTAACTTTTCCAAAAGTGGCTACTTTATTTTATATCCGCACTCTCAGTGTATGAGCTTCTCCGCACTTGTGGTTTGACTTTGATTATAGTCCTTCTAGTGGATGTGAACTGGTATCTAATTGTGGTTTTGATTGCATTTCCTTAATGGTTAATGATGTGGAGCATCTTTCATGAGCCCATTGGCCATTTGTATATCTTCTTTGGAGAAATGTTTATTCCAATCATTTGACCATTTTTAAATTGGATTATTTGTCTTATTATTACTGAATTGAAGTTTTTTTATGTTTCCAGATACAATTCCCTTATCAGATATATGATTTGCAACCACCCCGTTTTTGTACAGCTTGCAAAATGAGAATGGTTTTAATATTTTTTTAATCAAAAAAATAATATTTTGTGACTTGTGACAATTATATCTCAGTGCCCATAAATAAATTTTTATTGGCACACAGCTATGCCCATTCATTCTCATGGTGTGTCTGGCTGCTCTTGCCATACAAAGGTAAAGTTGAATAGTTGTGACATGGGCCATATGGCCTGTGAAGTCTAAAATCTTTTATTATCTGTCCCTTTTTGGTTGATCCCTGCTATTTTCTGACTTCCTAGAATCGGGAAATAAAATCTAAAGGCTTGACTAAAGTTAGGCTCAGCCATTTTGGTGTATATCTTGAGCATGTCCAAGAAGCAGTTGGAGAGGGTGACTTAAAGTTTCCACTGAAAAGTTGACCAGGGCTGGTTTGTCAAAGAACCCTCGAAGAGACCAGTTAATTCCTCTGGGCCTGTTTTCTCCACCTATAAAATGGGAAAGCCTACGTCAGGAGGCTGGCATGAAGACTGCGTTCAAATGTGCAGTGTACCTAGCACAGGACCTCGGATGGAAGTGTTTGAAGACTGTGATGGCCATTTCTCTTCTAGGGCTTTTGTGATTAGTATATTGATTGGTTGCGTGAATAGTTCATTGGATACACACCTCCTCCAGCCCCAGGTCTCAGGACATCTCTGAGCCCTCCCAGGTGCCAGGCAATGCTGGGACCCAGACTAGAGTCCCACCTGGGCCCTGCCCGCCAGGGGCTGCTCGTGTCGGGGGTGGGAAATACCGAGGGGTAGCAGCTATTCGAGGCAACTGGGAGCACTGTCAGAAACACAAGGAACACTTGACAGCCTGGAGCGCCAGGCTTCTGAGAAGGTGACTCGGGGATGGTGCCTGGGAGGACGAAGGGGACAAGATTTCCAGGAGGATCAGACACACACTCGCTGTCCGGTTCGTTCCACCTGAGAGTGTACCATGGTGCCTGAGGCTGCCTGTAGGCACGCAGCACAGTGGGTGGTCAAGGCCACAGACTCGGGTGCCTGGGTCAGACCCCCCCACTGCACAACCTCAGGCACCTTCTCTGGGCCCAGTCCCTTGTTGGTAGCAATGTTTGTGTGGTTGTGGGATTCAGTGGAGGTAATAGGTATCAAATGCTTAGAACAGGGCCAGGTTCACCAAAGCTTTTAAATAAGTATCAGCCCTTATTAATAGAAAATCCCAGACATTCACTTTTCCTCTTAGGGAGCTCTCTTTACCACTTTCCTCACATCCTATTTCTGTCTGTGATTTCCTTGAGGGTAATTAGCCCTTTGGGCTCCTGTAACTCAGAGGCCTCTACCCCCCTGGGAGGGCGTGCAGCTGTCCCTGTGACACCTCCCCCGCTGGGGAGAGGAGTTGGGAGCATTTTCTAGGTTTTTAAAGGGCTCTCTGACCCTACCAGAAGGTTAAGGACCACTGGTTCAGGATTCAGACAAACTCACTGCAGAGAGACAGGAGATAATAAGGGAAATGTGAACGCCAGCTGGGTAGTAGATGATGTTAAGGAATCATTAATGTGTCAAGGGTATTGTGGTCATGTTTTTTTAAAAGTCCTTCTGTCTTAGAGCTGCACTGTTTACACAGCAGCCATTAGTCCCAAGAGGCTATGGGGCACTTTGATATACAGCTGGGACAACTAGGGGACTGAATTTTTAAAATTTCTTTCACGTTAATTCATTTAAATTTAAGCACCAATACTTAATTCAGTTATCTAAAAAACTTTTAAGTGTGTGTTTGCAACAAAAAGGGTACGTGACTGTATGTCTGCAACAGTAAATTTTATGAAACCTAAATGTCGCCATGTGTCTGCAGTGAAAATTCAGTGTCTGAAATGAGATGTGTTGAAACAGTAAAATATACTCTGGATTTTGAAGACCTTGTATGAAAGAAGGAATGGGTTCTCTGTATTCTCGGACTTGGAGAGGGTTGGGAGGACTGACAGTTGTCGCCTGGGTGAGAGGGTGGCTGCAGAGCCTGGCTGCCAGGGTTTGAATCTTGGCTCTGCCACGTCCCAGCCTGTTTGTCTCTCCCGTAAAAATGGGTATGATGAGCCATAGCGGATGTTGTCTTGATGTTGTCTCTCTGAAATACTAGTGACAGCAGGTGGCAGTATTCTGTCTTCTATTTTGGAATTGGCTTCCTGAGAAGATAATGTACGGTGGTTGTGGGAAAGCTCTGTTTCTGGAGATATCCTGGCATTGCCACCTGCCGACCCTCCCTTGGAGAGCAGTTCTCAAACTTGGTGGTCTCAGGATCTTACAAATCGTCGAGGACTTTTGGTTTATGTGAGTTCCACCTATTGATGTTCGCTGTATCTGAAATTAAAACAGACAAGATTTTCATACAAAGTTCACTGATTTGCACTATACAATTCAGTGGCTTTTAGCATATTCACTATTTTAGGCAACCATCACTCTCTGGCTCAGAAGCCCCATACCCCTTAGCTGTCATTCCCCATTACCCCTTCCCCCAGCCCCTGGCAACCAATAAGCTACTCTCAGTCTCAGTGGATTTGCCTATCTGGACATTTCAAATAACTGGAATCATACGATATATGCCTTTTGTGCCGGATTTCTTTCATATTCTTTCATTGAGCATAATAAACACATTCTTAAGACCCGAGGATGCACAGGCACACATTCAATTAGCCGTCAGAGCAATGACATCCTCACATGTCACACAGCCTCTGGACAACTGTGCTGTACACTTCTGAGAGAATAAGAGGAACAAAGGCAATTGTGTATTATTATGGAAATAGTTTTGTGGACCCCCTGATAGTATCTCAGGGACCCTGGACTCCCTAGACCTTACTTTAGGAACCACTGCCCAAGGCAAATAACTTCTCTTCTAAGCCTCAGCTTGCCCATCTGCAAAGTAGAATTGGAGATGGGACTTCAGAGGGTGGCTGAGGTTGGACGAGTGATGAGATGGGGACTCAGAGAACTGGTCTGTGATCAGGGACTAACCATTGCTCTTTGTGATTGTTCCCAGGATTGCCCCACAAAGTAAAAAAGACCCAGTCCCTCTATAACTGTTCCTCTCACTCTCTGAAGGGAAAATGTCCTAGTCCGTGAAGCCAAAGAGCATAGAAACCCCTGTTCTTGGCCACAAGACAAGCAGCCTAGTGCCAAATACCACAGAGGTTCAAGGCAGTTGACAACTAAGAATAGAGTGGGGAATTTGTGCATGAGGAGTCAACACGACCTTCATGAGTGGCAACTGGGAGGAAGGCTGGGGCGGAAGCCAGGGGGCCAGGGCGGAGGAGAGAGTGGCAGGTGAGTGAGGGGAGGCAGCAGGTGCTGGACACTTGCTCCAAAGCTTGGGGTGAGGGGACGTTGGGGTGTTTTGCCAAGGTTAGCTTCTGAAAGGAGCATGGTGGCCACGCCTGGGGTGACAGAAATGTTGTGTATCTCCACTGCGGTGGTGGTTATGAGGGCGTATACATTTTGCCAAAGTGCGTCCTAAGATCTGTTCATCTGATATTCTGCATAAATATACCTAAAAACAAAACTCGGCCTCTGAAGGGAACTCACCAGTAGGGGGAGAGCGAGATCCATGCCTCAAAGAGAGGTTTGCTGTTCAAGTTCTGAATGTGAAAAGCAAGTTTGTGAAGGCAATCAGAAGGGAGAAAGATGCCGTTGCCTTTAACGTTCTGGGAGCCCTTGGTTTTGCCCCCCTCACTCACCCCCGCTTTTGGATCCTCCTTGCAGCCAGAGAGGCTATTTCCTGAACACCCCACTGTGTGCCAGCCTCTGAGCACGACCTCATTTAGTCCGCAGAGCAATGCAGTCCCATGAACTAGATCTCCTGGTCATCCGTATCTTTTACCAAATCAAACCGCAGCTCAGACAAACGAAATCTCCAGTCCGGAGTCACACAGCAAGTGGGGGCCAACCTCAGACTCAAGCCCAGAGAGGTCATATTGTCCAGTCCTCTGCCCGTTGATCCGTATAGCTCCGTCCTACTCAGTTCCCCCCTTCCTACTCGGGCAACCACTCTCCAACATATGACGCACATCCTTTTGTTTTTTTAAAATACACTGTTGGCACACGTGCAGACTGTGATCTCATTTTATTTCTAGCTTTTCACCCAGCATTGTATTTTTAAGGCCCACCCATGATGCCTTGCACACACCTAGTGGGTTGCATCTCACGGCTGGGTCATCTCCCTCCATTCTCCCGGGAGGGACAGTCCGTTGCCTTCAACTCTCCTCTGGTATAAGTGACACTGCCGTGCACATCCTCGTATGTGCCCCCCCGGGGATGTCTCTCGGTGTTTGGGGCACATGCCCTCAAGCACAGCATGGCTAATGCTTACTGTGCTTAGTACTGCCTGCCTGTGTTCCGGCAGGTGACCCTGTCCATTCTCCCCGCAGTGTTGCTTAAGGGTCCTGTGACCGACCCGCACGTCCTCTCCAAGCCTGGTCCCATCCAGCTTTCAAAGTCCCACCCGTCAGCCTGATGACAGGGTAAAAATAATAGCTACAGTGGTTTTCACTTGAGGAAACCTTGAGTGCCTCTCTGTACCCTTGTTAGCCCTGGAGCCTCTGTGAAACTGCCTCTCAAATCCTTTACTCCTTTTCCTATTGGGGGAGCTGGGTTTTCCCTTGTTGATTTGCTAGAGTTCCATGTCCAGTCGATTCTGCTGTAACACTTGCTTTGAAAATGGGAATTTATTCCAGTGTGATTGACACATGAGGGCACAGTGTGACCTGATGCAGTTCCCCCTTTGCTGACACGCAATGATTTCATCCATGGTTTCAATCGCCCACGAGAAGTAGGTGAACCCAGAAACTGCACTCTGTTGAAATGAGAATGTAGGCATGCACAGAGGACACGCGCGTGCACCCCGGACACCCACCAGGCGCCTCAGTTCCCCAGGTGTGTTAGGAGCTGCACCCATCCACACCTGTGCAACAACTTCCCATGGATTTCAGATAACCGTCCTTCCACCACCTCAGAGCAACTCATCCCTTCCAAAGCCCACGTCCACAAGCAAACTTTAGGTCTTTTTCAAGGTAAAATGCCAGCATCTTTTTTTTGGCATATGTCCATATTTTTTAACCATCCAATGGGTGTGACTGTCCTTCCTACCCCACCCCCAGCCTTCCCATCTCGGGGCAGATCAGTTCGAGGCCCATAAAGGGCCAGTCCTCCCCGTGTGGGCTCCCTCCAGCCATCACAGCTCTGCAACTGTCCCTTCCTCCTCCCAGAATGACACGGCATGGCAAGAACTGCACTGCAGGGGCTGTCTACACCTACCACGAGAAGAAGAAGGACACAGGTACTGGGTCTGCGAGGGGACAAACCTCATAAAGTCACCACCTCACTTTGTACCCCTGGCTGTACTTCCTGGGTGTGTCTCCTTCCCCTGACTGAGGGTCATGACCATTTAAGTACCAGCTCATGTGATCTAGCAGCACCCCACCCCATCCCATGTGGTGGGCGCTATATTACGTGCCTTCTCTACGTGAACTCATCTCATCCTCCCAGCTACCCATAAGAGGGAATCACTATTGTCTCAGCTGTATTCCAGAGGAGAAACCTGAGGCCCAAAGGGATACAGATGCTTGAGTCTGGTCACAGCCAGAGGGGCCAAACAGTCACCTGAGCCTCTCCACTGAGCTGCCTCGATGAAGGGCCTGTCTGTCTGTCATCTTCTGATAACACATTCCTGTGGGTTGTGCAGCCCCCACCCCCAACCCACAGACACAGAGCCCAAGTTCTTGACTGCCTGTTTCTCTGAGTACCCCCACCTCTGAGCTCTCTCTGTGCCTTTCTCTGGATTTGGGGAGGGGCCTGTGTCCCGTCCCTCCATCCTGCCATCCCTCTGCCTGTCTCTGTCCACAGCGGCCTCAGGCTACGGTACCCAGAACATTCGACTGAGCCGGGATGCTGTCAAGGACTTTGACTGCTGCTGCCTGTCTCTGCAGCCCTGCCATGACCCTGTCGTCACGTGAGCTGGGAACAAGGGTGGCAGGGGCACGGGGACCGCACAGAGGTGGCTGCATGCGACCTGGCCACCTGCACAGCCGGGGCACCCTGGACAAGCCACTTAACCTCTCGGAGCCTCAGTGTTCTTGTCTAACATGGGCGCGATCCTAGTATGTTTCGTGGGCTTTGGAAAAGAACACATTTGTAATAGACAGTACGGCTCAGAACGACTCCAGGCCCATAACAGCTCACACGTGGAGCATGCCCCGTTACCTGCCTCTTACGGTCTGACAAAGCTTCAGTGAGACAATGGCCAGTGACTGTGCTCAGCTACAGGTGTACTTCATGAGCTAGTGATGAGAGTCCACTGCAGTTCAGGGTCCCTGAGGCCACCTGCAGGTTCAGTGATCCACTGAGAGACCCCACAGAACTCAGGAAGGCTGTTACACTCACAGTGAGTTACACTCACGGTTCATTGTCAGGAAAAGATACAGATTAAAAGTAGCAGAGGGAGAAGGCACAGGGGCAGAGTGCAGGGGAGACCCGGAGGGAGCTCCCCGTTGTCCTCTCCTACTGGGGTCACACGGACAGTGCTCAATTCTCCCAGCAGCGTGTGACAACCCACACGCGGTGCTGCCCCTGAGAAGCTCGCCCAAGCAGCTGTGGTGTCCGGGGTCTTCCTTTGGAGGTGAGTCACATAGACGTGGCTGACTGCCATGTGGCTGACCTGGGTCTCCAGCCCCTCCAGAGGTCAAGTTGATACCACACAGCCCAAGCTCCCCCAGTGAACAAAGTCACTGTGAGGTGGATATCCAAGGGCTCAGAGGTTCCCTCCCAGGAGCTGGTCGAGGGCCGGTCCTTTGTCTGGAACATGCAGGGTTAGGCTCGCCGAGTGAATCCTTTGCTGTACAAGACTCTCTCTGCACATTAGCACATTAGATCACAAAGCCAGGAGAGTTCAGACGGTGTGGTCGCTTCAGACTGCGAAGCTGGGCACTGAGCAGGCTGCTGCCTGTGAGATGCCTAGAGGGTGCCCAGGGCAGGGAGCTGCTGGGGCTTGCGATTAACTCAAGCCTCACGGCCCGGGCCGGGCCCGCGACCCCTCATCCCGTGCTCTCTTTGCAGCCCAGATGGCTACCTGTATGAACGTGAGGCCATCCTGGAGTACATTTTGCACCAGAAAAAGGAGATCGCCCGGCAGATGAAGGTGCTGGGGATGGGGAAGGCGGCCGAGGTGTGGGTAGGTGGTCTTGGTGCTGAGTTCGCAAGCAGAGCCACTCGGGGCCTCCCATCGAAGTTCCTTTCCCCTCTGGCCTTTGCCTATGCTGTTCCCTCTGCCTGGTGCACTATTCCTTCCTACTTCTCCTGGTTACATCTTCCCATTCTTCAGATTTCAGCCCAGACATTGCCTCTTCTGACCTCCTGCTAGGCCAGGGCCCCCAGCCCCTGCCCTCAGTAACCCCTCTCCTGGCACTTGTCACAGTTGTGACTCTGCCTGTGGCTGTCTGACACGTGCCCATTCCCCCACTAGATGGCAGGTCCCCAAGGCAGGGAGCAGGTCTATCTCAGACCCCATGGCCCTAGGTTTTCAGTAAATACTTGTTCAATGAACAGACATCACCTTATCTATCTGGGCCTCAGTTTTATTGCCCCAAAATGGGCCGACAGGACCAAATGAGAGGACACTGCAGGGGCACATGGGAGATCCTCACAGATGAGAATTCTCAAGGTGTTTACTTGGAGGCAGGCGCCCTTTCCATAGTGAACTCATTTTACAGCTAGGAAGGACTCTGTTTGTCCCTGTGTTTGAGGCACAGCTGGTCCATCTCCCTCCTTCCCTGCCAGGTTTTCTGCATCTCAGGAAACACTAAGGGTCAGATTCTTGTTGAGCTTTTTGTCTCGAGTGGCTTCTTCTGTGCCCATGTCCTCCAAATGGCCTGGTGGCTGACCAGGTGCTCCCTCGTCATAGTGACCCATCTGAGCATTGGCCACTATTGGTGCGCCTGCTGCACTCGGCTGGGGGACCCATGTCAGAGCTTAGCGCTGCATCCGCACCCGTGGCTCCACATGTCAGCTGCTCCTGACTCCTGGAACTCTCCTCCAGGGCAGGGGTAGGGTCTATGATACACAGCTCTATACCGAACATAATATAGCCAACACATAACCTTTTCTGAGCACTTACTATGTGCTGGGCAGGGTTCTAAGTGTTTTTATAAAAGCATCCTGTCTAATCCTCCCAGGAAACCTCCAAGTGGGTTGCCACTGTTAGCCCATTTCACAGATGAAGAAACAGGCCAGGAGAGGTCACAGCACTTACCAGAGGCCACAGAGCTTATCCGTGACAGAGGCAGGGTGAATTACTTAGAGCAGAGAGATTCACACCCAGGGCATCACCAACGCTACCAAACACCACCTCTGCCCTGGCGCCCCTGGGTAGGCCTCAGTTTTCCCACCTGTGAAATGAAGAACCTCCAGCCCCCACCCCCGGGTGTCCGAAAGTCACAACCCACAGGATGCCGCCCACTCACTCCCCCACCGCCTGCAGGCCTATGAGAAGCAGCGAGGTGCCCGGCGTGAGGAGCAGAAAGAGCTGCAGCGGGCAGCGGCGCAGGACCAGGTGCGGGGCTTCCTGGAGAAGGAGGCGGCCATCGTGAGCCGGCCGCTCAACCCCTTCACAACCAAGGCCTCCTCAGGGCCTGGCCCAGGTGAGGAGAAGCACACCTGCCGGGGAGTGGGGGTTCCACGGGGCCGGGGGCCTCCCTGGGTGTGGCATGCAAACCCCCGTGCTCCCCACAGACGATGCCCGACCCGGGCCAAGCGCCGGCCCCACAGGCAAGGACGAGGACAAGGCACTGCCCAGCTTCTGGATCCCGTCACTCACGCCCGAGGCCAAGGCCACCAAGCTGGAGAAGCCGGTGAGCCCCCGCAGCATGCACCCCTGCACCCACTTCGCCACAGGGCCAGGGGCCCCGCCTCCACCCGGGCCCAGCCCTGGGTGCTGACCCTGCTCCCTCCAACCGCGCAGTCGCGCACGGTGACCTGCCCCATGTCGGGGAAGCCGCTGCGCATGTCGGACCTGACGCCCGTGCGCTTCACGCCACTGGACGGCTCCGTGGACCGCGTGGGGCTCATCACGCGCAGTGAACGCTACGTGTGCGCCGTGACCCGCGACAGCCTGAGCAACGCCACGCCGTGCGCCGTGCTGCGGCCCTCGTGAGTCACCTGCGGGGGCGGCGGGGCTTGGAGGCGTGGCCCTCCCTCCCCGGCCGGGGCTTCTGAGCCGCATCCCCACTTTCACCCCCTCCCTCACCTTCGCTCTCACCGCAGTGGAGCCGTGGTCACTGTCGAGTGCGTAGAGAAGCTAATTAGAAAGGACATGGTGGACCCCGTGAATGGAGAGAAGCTCACCGACCGCGATATCATCGTGCTGCAGCGGGTGAGCGGCGCCGCCCCTCCTGCCCCCCGGCCCCGCCCCCAGCGCAGGCCCCGCCCCCGCCCGCCTGATCCCCGCTGCCCTGGGGCATCCGCCCGTCTCCACCTTGACCTCCCCACCCTACAGGGCGGCACAGGCTTCGCGGGCTCTGGAGTGAAGCTGCATGCCGAGAAGTCGAGGCCGGTAATGCAGGCCTGAGTGCGCGGGACACCAATAAACGGGCTTGGGAGTGACTGGCAGTGTGGCGCCTTCATTCGCCGCTGGAGCCCTGGGCATGCGTTGGGAGAGGGGGTCGGGTGCGCAGGCAACCTGCACCCTGGAGTGGCTGCCAATATTTAATGTGGTCTTAAGGTTAAAATCTGAGCTGAGCACCAATACACATCATTAAAATTGGTTCAGACTGGACAGAAGTCAAAATCCGAGCTGCAACCATATGAAGGTGCCACTTTATCAGACTAAATAGAAATCCCCTAGTGTCCTTTTTTGAGTCGTGCCAAATTTGAAGGCTGTGAGATGTCCAGGAAGACCTGTCCCAGCGTAAAGTGTGGCAAGACACCCAAAGGAAGTAAGGTGCAGTGAGGGAGCAGCCAGCAGGAAGGGGAGAGAAGGCGGTCAGGAACCCCTCCTCTGATACTTGACTACCGAGAGCGGAGAGGAAAAGGAAACCACAAGTGCAAAGGCCCAGAGGCAGCAAAGTACTTGGGGGTTTGAAGAGCAGCAAGTGACGGGGAAGTGCTGGGGAGGGGGTCAGAGCCAAGGGCCTGCGGGACTTGCCTAGAGTTTAGACTCAGCTAGGAGTGCAGGGCCAGCCCTCAGACTTTGTTTTTAGTAAGGTTGGGTCACCAAAGCAGTCCCTGGGCTGTGTGGAAAACTAGAGCTTACTGTTAAGCAAAGATTCTTAAAACAGACTTCACATTCCTGCCTCCCTGAGCCATACCCAGGTCCTCTCCTTTTGATAAAATGTCTTTTTATCTGCTGCCCAGACTCGACTTACAGGAAAAGTGGCCTGGACCACTGTTTGGTCAAGCCGCTGTCTGGTGCAGGACTGGTGGTGCATCTGGCTGCTGGGGAAAGTTGGAGCAGGAGGGCGGGTGGTGTCATCTTTGCACCCTGGGGAGTCCCTCAAGCCTAGCGTTTGCTCCCCCAGGTACTTCTCGGACCTCCCCCTTGGTCCCTAAAAGCCCTCACACACCCTATTGGCCCCCAGTCCCTGGAAACTGGCCAAGTTGCTGCTGACATTCAACAAGCCCTTGCCATCTGGGACTGACTTTCTGCAGTCCCCTTGAATCCTTGCCACAGTCCTGGGAGAGGGCTGTTTGTACCTCTTCACAAAACAGCCCACTGGGGCTGAGAAGACAACCTGTCCAGTCACACTGCTCAAGCCCCTAGCAGAAGCCAAGTTCACCCAGGGTCAGCCACCTTTAGAGACCACCCCCTTCCCCAGACCTGCCTCCCACACTGGCACCCCACAGACCTCTCCACTTGAGGCTCCCACCCCATCCCTTTATACCCAGAGTGCTTCATACCATCCCTCCTTTGAACATCCCCCCAAACCTGTGCCTCTTCCCCAAGAGCCCTCAGCCCCCTCAAGGACTCTAACCTGTTCGTGTGTGGTACAGACCATTGCCCCCCACCCCCGCCCCACATAAAAACATAAGGGATTTCTAATCTTGCACGTTTATTTCCACAAGGAACCTAAATTCCACTCCTACTCGCAGCTCCTTTGTGACACCCTTTATGGGGAGGGTGTGGGGTGTATGTCAAGGTCTTTGCTCCAAGAAATAGGTTTTCTTTCAGGTTTCCAAGGTAACAAGGAAAAGAAGCAAGCGCTGCATGCAGCAGGAGAAGGGAGAGACCAGAAGTAGAGGGGAAAAACTTCTTTCTTTCTCAGCAGAAGTTCCCTAGAAACCGGTCTAAAGTTCAGAGCAAGAAATGGGTGTGGTGGGGCTCATGCGGGACAGGGCGTGCCTGCCGGTGGCTCCAGCTCCACTCAAGACAATCGCAATGAAGATTTTGTGTGGGTGTGGCTTAGTATTTTTTTTTTTTGCACTGCTCATGAGTGTGGAGATGGCCTAATACTTTCAGATACCTTCTAGAAATCTTTTTTTTTAGATACATACAATAAAGTGCACAAATCTTAGCGTACAGTTTGATAAATATTGATCATATAGTCAGTTAATATTCTTAAATGGGGGGATTTATTCTGGAAAGAGAAAACTACATGGACAGGGAGCAAATCCTTGGTTGCTGGGGGAAGGGGAGGGATTGACGACAAAATGTCCTGGCGTAGCGATTCAAGGAGGAACGGTGGAAATGTTCTGTGTCTTAATTGTGGTGCTGGTTACATGACTGATTTATCAAAAGTCCTAGAACTGTATACCAAAAAGAGTAGACTTTATGTAAATTAAAAATAACATTTAAAAATGAAAAAGGGGGGGGGGATTTCATGTGAGTAGATTTCCATGTCTTTTTTGTTTGTTCTCTTTGTTTTTAAAGAACCAAAACACATACTTGAGAGGATACAAAATACGCCATTTTTTTCATGTTCTGTTTCAAAGTGCAAATTTTTTAATGGAACTGAATATTGAAATAAGGTGTTTTTCATTTTCCATTTTTGGATTAAAGAAACTAAAATTCATGAAATAAAAATATCACAAAGACAAAGAATCTGAGAGGTGTTTAAAGAAATCATCCTTAATTAGAATATTTAACTTCTGGTTTGCCTAATAGAATCCATTTCTTTTTTTTAAAAAATCAGTGGAGTGACTCCACTCAGGTATATACCCAAGAAAATTGAAAACTTATGTCCACGCAAAAGCTTCTACGTGACTAAGTCTAGCAGCACTGATGATAGCCATAGAGGGGGAAGAACTCAAGTGTCCATCAACTGGTGAATGGATAGACAAACTGTGGTCTCTGCACACAGTGGAGTATAACCCACAAAAAGAAGGAAGTAGTGACATGGGCTAACATGGGTGAACTTTGAAATATATTTTGCTAAGTGAAAAGCCAGACACACAAAAGGTTACATATTGCATGACCCTTGTCACATAAAATGTCCAGAATAGGCAAATCCATAGAAGCAGAAAGTAAATTAGTGGTGACAGGCTGGGGGTTCGGGGAAGTAGAGAGTGACTAATTAAAGGTAATGGTTTAATGCTGAGGTGATGAAAATATTCTGGAATCAGTGATGATGGATGCGCAACCTTGAAATCCACTAAAAATCACTGAATTGTATACTTCAAAGAGGTAATTTCATAGTATGTGAATTATACCTCAATTATTACAAAATTAGATCTGACATGGTCAGTGACCCCACCTGGCTGCTTCTCTGGCTATCTTGCCAAAGCCGTGTGGACTTAATCTGCTGATTTGGAGATGGAGGGTCACCAATGGAACAGCTAACAGCAAAACCAGTTCAAAGGTTCTTTCTGATAAGTGTTGGTGAGGATATACAGAAACTGGAACTTTTGTACCACACTGGTAGGCATGAGAACTATTTGGAAGTATCTCATAAGGCAAAAGATGCCGACCCTGTGACCCAGCAATCTTACTCCCTTGTACCAGACATGCCAACACACTCAACAAAATGTGGACTAGAATGTTCACCACAGCCCTATTTGTAATAGCTCCTAGTTGAGGATGATCCAAAATTTTATGAACAATAGAATTTATAAACTGTGGTCCATTTGTAGGGAAGTACTATACAGCAATGAAAAAGGAAACATCTGCCCAACACATATGGGTGCCCACAGCTTGTGCCCATGTCTCTATAAAGTAATAAACAAGCAAACTATGCTGTTTGAAATCAGAATAGTGGCTACCCTTGGGGAGGGGGTATCGGTCCTCCTAGGGACTGATAATATTCTGTTTCCTGATCTGAATATTACTAACAAGTATATTGTGCAGTTTGCAAGAATTCACTTCAACAAATACTTAGGTTTTGCACTTTTGTATACATATTTTATATTCCCATAAAATTCACCTAAACTCACAATAACAAACATGTCCTTGGTAATTTGGCAATCTATCAAATTCATAAATTCCACATGTAGGAATTTATCAACTATTAAACTAATGGAAAATGCTTAGCACCTTCTGTGCAGCATTGTTTGTAAGAGAAAAAAACTAGAAAACTAAATGTTGGTCAGTAGTACAGAACTGGTTAAATAATCCACCCAGGGCCTGTTATTCAGCTGTTAAAAAAAAAAAGGAAGAAAGAAAGGAAATGAAGCCATTCTTTGCAGACTAAGTTGAAACAGTTTTCAAAAGGAGTTCTTAATTACCTTAGTGAAAAAATAATCTTTAAACATTAAAAAAAATCTGATACAATAAACTCTGTACCACTCAAAAAAAATAACAATAATCTTTAAGCATTTTAAGCTGAAGGATTCTGATTTTAAAAAATTTGCTAAGAAAACAAGAAAGGTAGAAATATTGTTAGTCACCTGCCATCATTTCTATTAAAAAGAAGAAAAATAACTTGTATGTGATTTGCTTAAATCTGTGTAGATTCTCAATGAAAGAAACACTGGCTGCTTGTGGGAAGGTGAATTTAGTGGAAGGGAGACTTGGATTTTAGTACATAGCATTTTACACTTTTATAACTTTGTAGCCTATGATTATATTGCCAACAATTAAATATAAGCAAAACATTCAGATTAAAAACGAACTTCCGAGAAGAGGCACTAAGGGTGACAGGTCGCCGGGCAGTCTTCTGTCAGAAGCTGTTCTTTACAAGTAATTTGTTATGTGTATTATTTTGATTATAAAACAACAAAAAATATTTTCAAACACGCAGTTCCCAGAGATTCACAAATTTGCCCTTCCCTTTAATGAACCAGTTCCCCACCTCCAGCCACTAGGGGGCAGTACATTGCAATTAAAAGCTTGGAGTCAGACAGTAGGATTCCAATTCCAACCCTCCTACAGATAACAAAACAATTATAAACTCTGGATAAAACAGAGAACAGTTACCTAAAAGCACTGGGAAGTGAACAAAAGCAGGCAGAAACCCGGAATGGAACTGATACTCAGAAAAAAGGAAGGGCAGTGGGTGAGTTTCTCATTTGCACAGCTTTTGTACAGGGGTTGGTGGGGCAGGTTCTAGTCCATGCCGTAAGGGGCAGCTACAGCAACAGCTGGAAAATCCAGTCTTTCTTGAAGCACCATGGCAACAGGAAAGTGAGGTATATATCCTGGAAAAGAGAGCCAGAGAGGGGGTACTCCAAATATTTTA